AAGGAAGGAAGGAAGGAAGGAAGGAAGGAAGGAAGGAATTTTAGAAGACCTTTGTTCTGTCTTTTGAGACTCAAGCGCTTCTCCAGTAACAGATTCTAAGTTAATAATTACCTAACTGATGCTGGGGTTTTTTCTCATTCAATGCTTTCTTACCAAATTACTTTTATGGCTTTGGGATGGAAAACAAAGAAGCCATGGTGTTCTCTGTGGTTGAAACACTCAAAATATTTCAGATGTTTTCTGACAGAACACAGCATATGGAACTTATAATAAGAATGCATAATTAGTTGCATCATAACTTGCATTACAAAGATGGATGGGACATATTGGCTACTGGACTTGTATACTGTACAATTTCAAAATCAGTTTGGAAGAAAGAAATGGATGATGAATTTCTTCAGCCAACAAATAACACAGAAAGCAGAAGAAAGTTAAAAATTAAAACTGATTTTTAAAAAAAAAAAAATAGGTAGACAAAACTGATCATACTACAGTGTATTAAAATAATGTGAATATTGTGGGGAAAAAATTAAGCTGCTTTTCAGATAAAAACTGATGCCTGCCACTATTTACATGTGAGGGACAAAACCAGCAAAAAGCTAAACAAAGGCCAGGAACTTAATTCTTAATCCTATGAACTGAGCCTGTTGAAGACTTGCAGATAAGTCTTGCACATAATTTCCTTGGAGTAAGTTCCATGGAACAATAGAAGTTTAATGCATAGGATTGTAGCCTGAACAAGCTAAAAATGATTACCATTTTATCTTTTGGAAAACATCTTTTTAATACCTCTAGCAGTATGGAATTTCACAGAATAGGATGCATAAGAAGTAAGATTCAGGTTCACTTTGTGTGAACCTATGCAGGTAGCAAAGGGTTGCATGCATCCACCCAAACATAAAAAGGAATTGCACGCCAGTTCCCTGATAATCCCCCATCCAGAATTATGGCATTGATCCTGGCCAAATCAACAGTATTTCATTGATTCATTTGGGTCCATGTCTTGTATTAGAAGAACTGAGACTGTAACATTTCCACAACAGAAATGTACTACTGAACATGATCTGCACAATGATGTGAAATATCTTTTGATGGTTGCTTGTGTTGTAAGAACAATAGAAAGCCTCCTTTCTCTCTTGGTATGTATACCTGCATGCAGAGAAAGAGGGCTATGCAAAAATTACTCTAACATATGCCACATGTTAGTCTGGGGAGGTAGTCTGTCCAACTCGTTCCCAATTCTAGAATGTTATATAGGAAAACTATAGTTCTGCTTTCTCCCTAATCTTTTTCCCACTTGCTACTTGAAGTGCTTTCCAACTCCCCTGGAGCTGAAAATTATACTGGAATGAATGTTGCTGTTCCCATTGCTGATCCCAGTCCTGTCTCTACTGCCTCTCTTTCAAGTCACTGTGATCACCTACCTTCCCCCCAAGGTAAAGTGACAATGTCTAACATGTCTTATATCCCTTTGAGTCTGTCATTGAACAATGTCAGAATAAGCCAGAAAACATTATTTCTGGGCAAAGATGGCTAAGGATGACTTAAGTTTATCTCCTTCATAGGCTGGGGACAAGATAAAGGCAACATCATGATCATGATCAACATCATGAATGATGTTGCCAGGGCTTTTTTGCTGTGGTTAGAGATAACTAGGGAAAATCCCAACACCTTTCATGAGAAAACATAATGCCAAACAGCATGTATAAACTTTTTGTTTTTTACCAGAATGAGATGAAGTTGGCAGATACACTAGACCATCATAAGATGAAGCCTGCCAAATTTATAGTGTGTTTGAGTTACATTCCTTGACAATATGAGTTATTCAAGTACCCATAAGATCTGTTGTTGTTCTTGTTGTTTTATACAAAAACTGGATAAAATGTACAAGAAAGCTAGAGCACAAGGCTACAATTGGGGTGACCAAATGCAAGTGTGACTTTGATTTGAAGACAGTTCTACCAATCTCTGAATCTTGGGGATTTTCATATGAAGATTTTATGTTGCTTCAGAACCAGCTCCAGACCTGTATAGCCACAGAACACTAGCTAGTTCTGAGAGCTTTCTACTTCCAGAGCCAAGCTGGGTTTTTCTTATCAATGGTGTGGGCACACAGTTTTGCATCAGTAGGAACTGATGCCTCACTCCACCTTCTTGGATTCATAGCGATGTGAATTCTCTCCCACCCCATACAGCTTCAGTGTCCTGTTACTAATCTCTTTCTGTAGGGATTGTTTAGCTTTTATCTCCCCCTTTCTCTCCCACAACAACATGCAATTATAATTACAGTGTTGAGGAAAGTGCCTGTTGCAAATCAGTAATACATGCTATTGTTTCATTTTCACAACTCTCAGGAGCTATTGAATACAGTGGAGGAAAGGTGGCTTAATGGCTTTGTGGCTCACCCTATGTAATGGTATGTGGGAATGACCTTGGGAGGCAGGGAGAAGAGCCACAGCCAGGGGAATGGTCAGACAAGAGGCAGCTCAGCCTGCAAAAGGAATGTGGGTGTGGCAAACATCTCAGAAGGGACTCTCCTTAGTTTCTTGGGCTGTAAAGGTGAAGGGGGAGAAATGTACTTTCAGACTTGCAAGATTCTGTTAATGTAACCTTAGAATAAAGTAGAATTAGTCCATCTGGTCATGCTTTCTGTCTGGATGACGTTGCTAGGCTTACACATTAAGTCAGAACTGCTTAGATGTTCTGACAGACTGAAAACTATACCTGTATCTGATACGTACAGAAAAAGTTGGCGGGAGTAGCAATTTATTTCTTTTTATGAGGAGTGGGTGGTAGGGGACCTTTGTTACTACAGAAGCTATGGCAGCATGAGTGCTGACTGAATGCCTTTTTTCACTCTCCTGTCACTGAGCTGGAGGAAGCACTGATTAGTTCATGGTGATCTCTGCATCTTCTCAGCATTTTGGCAGAAGTGAACATAATCAAAGATCAGCTTCAAAGTGCTATTGATGGGTTGGAGGGTAAATGGAATCAGCTGTAGTGTGAAAGTGCCTTAATACTACTCCTCTCCACTGAGATGATACAGAGCGAAGTATCCAAACGTTCTCATTCTTAAAATCCCCCTCTGGGTTTGTATGTGTGCAATGTGATGCCCTGGAGACAGGACGAAGATAACTTCATCTCATCTCAACTGAATTTAAAAAAAAAGCACCAGGAGTTGTCCCATTCAGCATTGGGCTCAGGGTTCATGCTGAGTCAAATATGCTTTTTCATTTACTTATTCATTTGATGGAGGGACTTCTGGTCCATGAAATATTATGCCAAAAACATATCTGTGATACCACAGGACCTTTTTTTGGTTACCAGGCTGCTGATGTGTGATGCTTCCAAGTTTCATCATTAATGAGTCCTTCACAAAAATGCTTTCAACACCTGTTTGCATGCAAACACCCAGGCACCCACAGAAACCTTATGAAAGCTTGAGAACCTGCTTTAGTAATTACTTCTGCTCTTCAATTCTTGAAATCTGTTTGTTACATTGACTGAAATGTCATTTTCTCTTTTTATACAAATGACTATTTTTCATCTGAAAATAAAACCTCTGGAAACAAAATTGTAAAACAAAGAACATTGAGCAAAAAGGGTGGGAGGAAAATTTCAAAATAATCCTTTTGAACTGAAAATTTCTGCAAACCTCTATAAAACTTTTTTTTTTTTAGTTCACTTACCTATTTTAATTCCATGGCCCATAATATTGCAAAAAGTGTTATTTTCAATCCTGAAATCTGATATTCCTGATAGGCTAACTCCTTGAGCAAAAGAATCCAACACAGCACAATGTTGAATGTAAGATTCTAAAAAAGAGAAAAAGAAAAAGATGTGGATACAGACCAGCAGAACTGAAAAGGAATGCAATTCCATAGTGTTTGAAAGTCTCCTTTTCAGTGATAATTCACATGACATATTACAGTGGGTTTAAAGACAGTGGAGGAATAAATATCAAAAGTAGAATGTGCCAATAGTTGTTTAAAATAGCAGCAGAATCATTTCAATCAATTACATAAAATGGACAAACAACTGAGGGAAAATAACAGAAGCTTAACTTCCAAAGACCAGCAGAAGAAGCACTGAGTGGGTTTGTGCGTGGAATTTAGCAAACAAGTTGATCCTGTTAGAAGTGGGAGGAAGGTGTCTAGAACCAGTCTTCCTGAGAAGATCTTAACCGTTGGGCAGAATCTATAGCAAGCAGCCCAATGCCTAAGACCGTGAGTTGTGGCTGGGAAAAAACTGATAGCCAGGAAAGCTCTTTTAATTGTATGAAAGCTAGATTGTTACAGAAGGAACTGGGAGGGCCAGATTCATGTCCTTACTTAACCATGAAACTCACCAAGTGACTTTGTGATAGTCATAGTCTCTCAGCTAACCTACCTCGCCAAGTTCTTGTGAGTAGAAAATAAGAAATTGCACCCATGTGTACTGCCTCAGGCTCCTTAGAGGAAAGCAGGTTACCAGTATCAGAAATATTTGTTTGTTCTGGATAAACTGAATTTCTAAACTGTCTTCACAGGACTCTCTATAGTAACAGCCCTGCAGTAATCTAATATGGATGCCACTGCATTATGTATAACTGTAGTCAAAATTATATTTTCCCTAAATGTACTACAGCTGGCATATTGACTGAGTTGGTTGGGGTATTTATATGTTGACAAAACTTGGGAAGCCATCTGGTGCAGTATGTCTGAAAGTGTCCTGGTGGACTATAGATGCTGCAGCCTCATCCAATTGTAGCTAAATCTTGGATTCCTTTTTTGGCTAAATCATTAACCAGCAACAGCTTGGTTATACCTGGATGGAATTTTAATAGGCTGGCTGTATCCACCTTATTACTGAGTCTAGATACAGTTGATTAATTGGTCTCACCTCACCTAAATCTGACTTTAAAAAGAGATTCAGAGTTCGGTGTCATCAGCATACTGATAACATTTTGCTCCATTTCCCTGAAAGAATTTTTCCTAGGGATTTGAGGAGGAAACCAACTAGTATGAGAGACAAGATGGAGCTTTACAGAGTCACACAGTACAAATGCACTGGAGCAGAGCAACTATCCCGTAGCATTATCTTTCAGCCTGCAATTTCTTCTGTTTTTCAGCATCCAAGATGACCAAGGTATCTTTATCCCTCACTTTCACTCAGATGCTAATTGAAGTGGTTCTTAATAATCATCTTCATCCAGGAATGAGTATGAAGTTGACTAGCCATCATGTCCCCATGCAGAAAACAGAGGAATAATTATTAGTTGCCAGAATTTTGGAAGAAAAAGCAATGCCAGTTTTCTGGACTTTCCTGCATAGAACTGAAATAAGCATCTGAATCAGCAAGTAGAGTTTATATACCCAGAGCCTTTCCAGAAGTGATCGTCATTGTTAGCTTTCATCAGTGGTGTTTTGGTTGGGAATTGGAGCAACTATTCATAACGCCCACATGCAAAATAAATTAATAAATACCCTGTTAAGAAAACAATATAACCACCACCATCATGTCTAGTAATTAAAATCTCTTACTAGTCATTTGAGCATTTCCAGCAACAGTCAGCGCACTGAGATGCTTCTGGAATGCTTGTCCCACATGATAGAACTGTACACCTGTCAAGCATAGTAGACTCTCTTCATCATAATAGGACTCCACAGTGACAATGCCCCCCATGTTCTGAGATCCAGGTTTTCTCTCACTTCTCTTATAGAGGCACTCTGAGTTGTCTGAAAAGCAGCAAGGGAGGTAGAGATTATTCAGAGCTAGAACTGAGAACGTTCAAACATCCCAGAGGAGAGACGAGAATTTCAGCAAATCACAAAGGAAATAGGCAATCATCAGACCTGAAGTAATACTTAACAGAAATGGCACTCATTTTATGACACACTTTAAGGCATTATCTTTAGACAGCTCCTTGTAACAGTTTTGCTATTACTCACTCATAAAAATGTTAACTGTGGAAAGAAAATCATATCTGTTCTTGTGCTACGAAAAAGCATTTTAGTCACAAGAATCCTGTAAAATGCTTAATGTACTCAGCATGTGTCTCAAAAATTTACGTAAACATAAATTATTCCTACAATTGTCTTCTTGATTAAAGAGTGCATTGTAAACACAGCAAATCCAATGTTCGTGTATATTAAGGTTCCCATTCACTGTCTTTGAAGTGCAGTCTTATTTTAAACAGTTATCCAAACATTTGTTTTCTGCATGTTGATGCGTATTTCTTACAAAAGCTCAAAATCTTTATCCTCTTTCCCTCTGCAGCTGGGGAAGGAGTGGGATGAATCAGCCTAATACATTAATCTAAAGCACAAAATTATATTCTGAAGATGCCTACTAAATTTAATTGCCCCTTCATCTCCCATTTCAAGCAAGCAGAAAATGCTTCAATTCACTCTGGTTAATATTTCAATATCAAAAACTGAAAAGATGAATTTTCTTGGAGCCTGTACATAAAGAAAACCAAGAAGAGCCTCTGAAAAAGTGATAAAAACCTGGGATGTTAAAAGCTACAATGCTGTGCTCACTTATTTACTTCTCTCCAGCATGGTGCCCTCCAAAGGCACACACTTCTTCCTCACTCACCTCCTGAAATGCCTGCTGCTTTACAGAGTTGCAGATGGGAAATTTTTTCAGTTGTGACATTTCCTTGGATGACTAGATTCCTACTCAGCAATGCCACAACAGCTCTAAAAGCAAGACGTTCTTCGAGAACCTGCTCTTCAGTAACACTGTAAAGATACCTATAGGATATATAAGAATAAGTACAGCTAGTCCTACCAATTCAGTGATAATGTGTCAACAATTCAATCACTTTTTTTAAAAAAGCCAGAAATAAGCTTAATTGGAAGCAGAACTTAGCCTTAATGCATATTCTAGCATCAGCACTGAGCTCCCCTTTCTTTGATGACTACTTACCTTTCCACTGTTATGCAAAGGCATTCAGTACACACCCGCAGTTGCCTACATATGTGACTGTTTCAGTTGACATACAGTTGTACAAATGCAGATCCACAGTGGTATAACTTCAAATTAACATCACATGAACATTGCTAGAACAATGCTGCCAACTCAGGTATGATTACCTTAGTGGAGGTGTAATATAGAGTTCTGTGCCATTTACTTTCTTAATGGTAACAATTTCGTCTTTTTTTTGAGCACCTTCAAGACCTCCTCCACATACAACAACTTCATCTCCAGGTTTCCAATCCACAAAGTCCATTAAATCCAACTTTGTATCATTAGGGTGTGCTGCTGATTTTAGGTGTGTGACTGACACTTTTGGGACACAACCTGAAATATTAAATAAGATGAACATATGAGAAAAAAAGGATGACATAAAAAGCTGCAGTTTCATTTTTCTTTATAAGTATTAAGCACTTTCATTTCAGCTCAAAATATTCCAAATTTATGTTTAAAAACATAATGAGAACTATCTATGGATTAAGAACTCGTCTTCGTTCTCATTTTTAACTTTTTAATATAGTGCTATCATTTTGCAAGTATCTCTAGTTGAAAAATACTAAACATTTTTGTTATGTAACTTTTCATTTTTTTTTTTTTAAGTGAGTTGAAAATTGATGTTCTGTGAGGTGGGGAGACACAGTTGCTACAACTTTGGCAGCACCTTGTTTTTAGCCACAGCCAGGAAATCAAAGAAAGGGCTACCCACTGCCCAAATTAAGGAAAACAAGCTAAGCCCTGTAAAACTTCTCCAACCCAATACAGTGCTCTGAAGAAAATGTTAAGTCAGCCCTAATTCTAGGACCATCACAATGACATCAAGTTTGAGTTCCATAGCTCAAAAGGTTTGGCCAAATGCTATTTTCCTGTGTCGTCTCCCAAACCTAGAACATACGGCTAAAAATATTTTCCTTTTTTCTCAACTCAGAGAAGAAAATAATCACTCCTGTGATGTTGGCCCTAGTGAGATGCTACTCCCAGCAGCACACAGGCACACTGAAGACTGTTGTTAACAATACTTCCAATGGCAAAACTGATAGCATATATCCACAACAGAAGCCTAACTAAATTTAAGCAAGAATGACATCATGCAGCAAGGCAAATATAAACATTTACAGTATGGTTTTTAAGGTGGTTTAAATGTTTATAAACACTGCAAATTGGTCAGAATACAGAGTAGGAACAAGTTAGAAATTAAATACCTATTTACCTTTTCCAAGCAGCTCTCTTCTCTTTTCCTTTTAGTACTCATAAATAAAAATAAATAATAATGCAGTAAAGACTTCAATATTAAGTTCAACGGTATGAACTTTTTTCATATTACAAAATAATTTGGTGCACTTTGAAACTTCTTATCAATGTCATACTAAGCTCAACTATACAATAGGAGCAACCCTATATTCATACCTATTTTGGAAATCATATTTAACATTAATATACATTTTCTATTTTGAACAGTTTAATTGACTTTATATTCTCACAGCATTAACAGCTTCCAGTTTCTATTGTATAGACACCACTGTACTTAGCCATTATTTGTATTCCATAAGAAAACAATTAATTTGGGGTAAAAAAAGAAACATGTATTACATCAATATAGATAGAAATGGTTGATCATAAATTTAACCATTCTTAATCAGAAAATAAAACAATATCTCCCATTAAATGCGGCTTTATTTAAAGAGACGATTATCTGTCATGCAGTGCTTGCAGGCTTTAATATACAATGCCTTAGAAGCATGAAATGAAGTCACTGTTTTGGGGGGAGCCACTTCAGAGAGGAAAAAAGAGATCAAAGTCCTTTATTTAAAAGGACTTTTATGCTGCTTCAATCCAAGTGAATCTAAACAGCTTACAAAAGTAATACAGGTAGTCCTTGTTTAGTGTCCACAACTGAGACTGGCAACTTGGTCATTAAGCAAAGCAGTTGCTAAGTGAAACCACAACTGTGCTTACAATCTTCCTTCAGTTATCCTTTGCTTTACAGACCTGCAAAAGTCATAAGTGCGAGGATTGGTCATAAAAGTTACTTTTTCATCACCATTGTAACTGTGACTGGTCACTAAGTGATGCAGTCATTAAATGAGGACTACCTGTAAACCATAACCAACCATACCAAAATACCAATAAATATCCAAAACTCAAATAATAACACAAATACTGTACATCTCCTTGTCTGTGTCGTACAATGGTTCAGCTATATATGTTGTTCCCAGATATCTATTTAGAGAGTCTAGTGGCTTTAATAAAAGTGTCTCTGAGATGGAAGTACAGCTGCAATCTGCTGAATTAGTAAAGTGTTCATTTTAAATATGAAAGCAGATTCATCCAGTTAAGTTTTGCTTGTTAGCATGTGAAGGGAAAACGTGGGTTGGGGCAGAACAGGAGGTTTATTGGTGTATTGCTCGATATTCTTCCTGAACAAGCCAGACTAGTTCAAGGGACATGCTGGAATCCCCACTAGCTTCAGCTAGGGACCTTCAAAGTGAACATGCCATAATAGAAATAGCTCAGGGCTTAGTGGTTTTTATGGCAGCGAAAGGCCTTCTGTTCTTTACACTAGAATATGAAATATCTCTTGCTTCTCCAACATTTAACACAATGCTTGTCCATGTTAATTAAAAGTGTTCCTCCTTTATTATCACTCTAGAAAGCTAAGAACACAACTTGCTGTCTTCTGTGCCAGATAGTTAAGGGTCTGTTGGGTAGAGCAAGAGATCATCATCATAATAAGGGATAGGGGAAAAATTAGTTCTATTAGCACTTCAATGGAAACATAAGCTAATTTACACTTCCTAAAAATCCAAACATAAACCAAAATGCAGCTATCCTTCAGTATTCCTATTTTTCTAAATTTTGATAACAAAACTGCATCAGAATGTACATAAACAAAAACGCACATAAACAGAAATGAAGAAATGAATTTCATAATAAGATGTGCACTGTGGCTGTTCTCTTTACTTAGCATACAGATTGTTTCTGGTATGAAATCCAGCAGAATTTTATTTAATTACTATTTTTCTTTTCCTCAGCCAACTAGTTTTCCCCCTAGACTTTTTTCTCTCTCTTTTTTTAATCAGTCCAGCAGTACATTGCTTAATCATTTCTACTGTCATTCAGGTCTTGTAGGCCTCCCAAAGACATGATAGAGCCAGGAAGCCTTTCAGTCTAATAAATAGTAATGTGAAACTCTTTTAGTGCAAGTGGCTGGGGAAACAATGAAATAATGCATTTGAAATTGGCTTGACCTAAAATGGAGGTTGTGTACTTTTTATTAGTGTATCAATTTCTATGAAAGTTGCTATCAGCTTTTCAAGGTTGGCTGGATCAGGAAACTGATATCACAAAGGATACCGAAGCTCTATTTTATTGTTGAAGGATATAATAACAAAATCAAGAAAGCCCCTCTGCCCCCTCTTATACCAAAGAGAATCAAGTGGGGTTATCTTGAGTTTCTTTCTCACCCCCTCTTCTTTTTGGGGCTAAGTTGATGTTTATTTAACTGATTTTTCATTCCTTCTTCAAGACTACCTCCATATTCCTCTATGATCACTAAATTCTGTTCAATTGTGATAGTTGTTACAGGATGCTGGGTATGAATTACACTCACATTTGGATAGCCTGGTTACTTATGTCTTTCATGGGAAGTTGCTGCATTGGATGTTTGTTGCTAACTTTTTGTCCCTCTAATATGCTAATACCTCATCTTGTTCTATTAGTTCATATATTACCACTTTCTTTTTTATCTTTAATGGTAAAATAAATAAATAAATAAATTGGGTTTTTTGTTTTGTTTTTATTTTTCTCCTCAAG